TTCCTGATTTACACCACTGTAAGAGCAGATCCAGAGCTCCAGCCTCCGGCGTGACCGTGCAATCAAATATTACTGCTAATACTAACCGGCCGCTTCCTCGCAGCTCATCGAAAGGGCTGCGATGAGAGACAGCACGACAAGAATAATATTTAGGCTTTGGGTTTAACGTGCGTTTTTTTGCAAACATTCCTTTATCCCCAGCCCTTCTAGGGAAGCAGATATTAATTTGCAGAGATCGTTTTTTTCCCTCCACACCACAAGAAAAAAAAACACAACCTGTGGCTGGACAATGACTTCTCATTGCAAATCTTTGCTGAAATCTTTTTTTTTTTTCCCTTTTTCCCCCACTTGGATCCAAAAAAACGAGAGGCCTGTTGATTTTTTGGCAGCTGAAATGCCAACGGTTTTGAGTTTAAAACGCCGGAAAATTGGGGTTGGCGGAAACCGAAAGCATGTCAGTTTGGGCAAAAATAAAACCCCTTAAAATCAGGCACATTCCTCTGGAAACATATCTAATTTATTAATAATGTCATTTTCTGATGGAGGGGAGGGGGAAAACTGCTGATGGCGAGTTTTCCACTGGCCTTGGTTAATGCGTCCATTTTACAGGGGGGTCAACTGAGGCACAGAGAAGGGAACGACGTGGGTACTCCAGCGGGAGGGGACTGTGGGACGTGCGTGTCTCTGCTGAGGATCTTACGTTCCCGGGTTGGTTTGTTGGCAGACAAAGACCTGCAGATCCTGAAGCGCGGCGAGGGCGATCCCCGCAAGGAGCTCCCCAGGAAGCCGCCGCTGCCCGAGGACAACAGCAAGAACATCATCCCCGTGTACTGCTCCATCCTGGCCGCCGTGGTGGTGGGGCTGCTGGCCTACGTGGCTTTCAAGTGGTACGTGGGGCGAGAGGCGCTGCTTGTGGGGGACGCCGTCCTCCCCTCGTCCCAGCCGTCGTCAGGTTGACTTGGCCGGAGGGGCTTCGCTGGCCCCAAGCGCGAGGGAGGCTGGGAGCATGCAGCCGGACCCCCTTCTCCCCCCCGAGCTTTGGGGGAGCCCCCATTTGGCTCCTGTACCCCTTGCGCCCCTCAGGCAGGGAAACTGAGGCACAAAGGTGGGGAGCAACTTTCCAAAGGGCCCCCAGGGAGTCGGTGGCAGAGCCCAGGAGTCCTCATGCAGGAGCTCACCACTAGGCAAGGCTTCCCCTTTCCCTAAAGTCTTTGGAAGACCACCCCACCCGTCCGAGGACAGCGCGGTGCCGTGTCGGGACCGCCCCAGCGTCGGCCCTGGGGCCCCCAACTCTGCCTCTGGCACCTAGGCAAGTCCCTGCACCCTGCTGTGCCTCAGTTTACCAGTCTGCGAGCTGGCTCTGGAGGCAGGGGCTGGCTTCCCCACAGCACAGGTGCGGGTCCCCTTCCCAGGCAGGGCTGGAGGAAGAGAGCAAGAGAAAGGTCCCTTTGTGCCCCCCCAACTTCTTAACATGCCCAGCGAGCGGCAGAGCCTCTTGCATCGCACAAGGGCTGCGTCCCGCTGCGCCCGGCTCGCTGCTGGGCCTGGCCGCTGAATAGGATTAAACCTCGCTGTGGGTTGGGATTAGACCCATCTCTGCCGCTCGGTCCCTGGCCTTTGCTGCGAGACCGGGCCGGGCGGGGGGGTTAGATTAATGGGCTCGGTCTGAAAAGATCCCAGGCGGCCGGCTGTTGTATTGGGAAGAGGAAAGCCAGCCCCTGGGGCCCTTTGTGCCTGGACCGGGGCGGGGACAGCCCCACTCCCCTCCCTGCTTGGCCACGTCCTTTATATTCCCCTCACACCCGGCCGAGGGGGCTCTGCCCCTCTCCCCGCCGAAGGAGCAACGAAACCCTGGCTCCCGCAGCTCTCCCTGCAGCCAGAAGAGCCAAGCCCCCAGCAAGCACAGACGCCCGGGCCCCACATCTGCTGCCAGATGTTTGGGGACCGCCGGTGCCAGGAAAGCTCCACGAGGAAAGGGAGGGCTCCACACCGCACCAGACGGGGCCTCGCCGCCGGTGGGATCCCCAGCGCTGCCACTGCCTGCCCGGACTTGGGCATGTCGCTTGGTGTCTCGGCCCTGCTGCGTGTCCTCTGAGCACTCTGGATAAGCGCCCTGGCCTGGGTGCCGTGGGGGGCAGTGCAGAACTGGGCCTCAGCTTTTCCCTCTGGATACAAGGGCACATCATTTGTTCTGCCCCGAGGAAGGGCACTCCCCAGGACGGGGATGGGCTGGATCTGTATCTATGTAGACACGGCCCCGGTTGTGCCTCCAGCATCCTCCGCCCTGCCGTCCGGCAGCCCCAGGCATAGCCAGGGTCCCCATGGCGCCAGGCACTGTACAAACAGGGAGCAAAGTGCCATCCCAGCTGCACATGACCTCCGTGAGTACTCTTACGAGGCCAGGCCAGCGCAGCCCCCATCGTCCCTGCTCCCCTCTCCCTGCAGCCTCTTCTCTATTCCTAATGCATGCCCCCCTTGCTAAAGCGCTGCCTCTCCTTACCTCCCAACAGCTGGAACACCTGCAAGCAGAAGCAGCAGCTGGCCAAAGCCCGGGCCGGGGAGCTGGGGGGCTCCCCCGAGGGCGAGAAACTGCACAGTGACAGCGGCGTCTTCCTGGACACGCACAGCCTGCAGGAGCACCATCAGCTCAACAAGGGTAAGGGCTTCCCACCGCGCTCAGCAGCAGAGCGGCCGGGTCTGGGTCCCCGAGGAGCTCCCTGGGGTCTTAGCGGTTTCAAAGCTCCCAGGGAATATGGGCTGGGTGGTCTCAAGGTCCCCAGGAAGCATGGGCTTGGCTGTTTCAGGAGAGCTTGGTAGTGATTATAGGACCTTCTATAATCAAGAGCAAATAGGAGACCCCCTGCAACATAACACGAAGCACGGCCACGAGTGGCTAAAGGTTGCACCTGGGCTGTCTCCATCGCCAGCCCTCCCCATCCAAGAGCCCCCCGGTTCTCCAAAGAGCCTCATACCCGGCTCCGTTTGCTGCACAGCACCCGTGCGCGGTGCCCTGCCGCGTGAGGCAAAGGGAAAACGGGGACGAGGCACGGTGGGAGAGACGGCGGGTCCAATCCTGGCAGCTGTGGAGGCCTTTGCTCTGCACTACAGATGTGCATCAGCTCTGCGGGCAGAAGCCTGGTGCTGTGACGGGGGCACTTTGGGCGCGGACTAGGCCTGAGTTCGGCAGCGCAGGAGCTCCCGTCGTGCACAGCAGCAGTTTAGGGCAGGGAGTGGAGATTGCTGCACCCTGCAAGGCGTTCCCAATGCAAACGGGGTGCCTAGCTAGCTAGGAGAGCCACACGGGTGTCCCTGCAAGGCACCGCAGAGACAGGGTCTCCAATGACTACACACGATAAAGGTTCCTGGCTGTGATTCAGTCCAGAAAAATTGTCCCAGTGACCACTGTGCTTCGGTGCTGACTCAGTGGGGATGGGGAAGATGGGCTGAATCACTGTCCCACATCCTCCAGCACCCTCTTTCCCACACACGGCCCTGACGTAGCCAATGCTGCACTTAGGCAATGCAAGAAACCCCCAGCACGGCTCATCCTGGGAGCTGCCGGGCACCTGGGTGCAGGGCCAAGCAGCGGGGCAGACCCCTACTGCTCTTGCCCCTTCGTAGCAGCAGCAAAGCACGGGTGCCAGTGCAACCATGTTCATGCCAGCATAGCTTTTCCTTCAGGGCAGCCCATTGCTGTAGGTGCTGTTACAGGGGGCAGAATAGCCTGTGCACCCTTGAGCAAGTGGCTACCCTGGATTGAAAGTGAGTGCAGAGAGTGGGGTGCAGATGGGGTGACACAGTCAGATAGCACTACATACCTTTTTCTCCAGTTAAAGAGAAACTGGAAGATTTTCTAATACGCTAGGTGGCTAGCGCTACATTATTTAGTGTAAGATCAAAGCAAAAACAATGCATCTTTACTGGAACGTGCACTAATTTTCCAGGTTATATCTCAAATTAAAAAAACAAAAACTAGGCCAAGAAGGGTCAAAAGGTATGGTTCATTAGTGCTGTAGTCATAGTTAAATATACATCTCTTAATAGATTTCATAAAACAAAAATCTAATCTTCCTGAGTGTCTTGACAGGGCTTCCAGCACTTAGGTGCAGAAACGACTGACACCAGAGTTAATCTCACCACACCTACATTAAAGTTTTTAGCTAGAAGTAAACACAGTCTGCAGGGCTGTGAAATAGGAGGGAGGCATTCCCAGGACCGGCTGCCAGACAGCAACATCGCAAAACAAAGGATAGTTTGAATTGTGGAACATCAAGACCATTAAAAAAAAAGGAGAGAGGGTTGTTAACACCCAGTGAGTGACGAGAGATTAGCAGGAATCGGGTAGACATCAACTGACTCCTGCAGGGCTGCCGGAATAGAAATGCCCCTGCTTCTCTACAGCAGCTAGTTTGAAAGTTTGGGTGCAGCGGGAAGCTAAGGGGGTGCAACTGCTCTCAGTTTTGCTCCTGGCTCTCAGAGGGGTCGTTCTACCCCGGAAGGGCGCGGCTTCCCCGGGTGCAGCACTTACACCGGTGTAAATGTGTCCCGTGTCTGCACCCTGAAGAAGGAGAGGGGCTGAGAGGGGAGTTTTGCCCAGTGCCCTTCCTAGCAGCCACAGAGCCCAGCTGCGGTGGCCCTTGCAGCTGCAATGGTGCATACGTGTCCGCCCTGCCCTGACCATGCCTGTCTCTGCCTGTCCCTCTGCAGCGCCCAAGGCCGAGCCCCGGCTGTACATCAACCTCCCGCCCCACAAGCAGGAGGAGGTGGAACAGCTGCTGGAAAGCCCCAGCCACAGCAAGGACTGGCGCTATCTGGCCAGCCAGCTGGGCTACGAGGACGAAGCTATCGACACCTTCGGCAGGGGCGAAGCCCCGGCTCACACCCTCCTCTCGGACTGGTCTGCCAAGGAGGGGGCCACGCTGGAGGCCCTGTGCGCCGCGCTGGCTGGCATCGAGCGGCCAGACGTGGTGGACAACTTGACCGGCCCGGCAGAGGCGAGCTCGGTGGTGTAATGGCATCTCGCGAGGGCGGGACTAGCAAGAGGCGTTGGACATGGGAACAAAGGGGGAAGGATGCCAAAGGAACGCTGTTCGTGAATTAAACAAGGGGGGGAAAACCAATTAACAAGCAATGAAGCCAAACTACGGTAAGAAAACCCCACAAAGCCATAGAGTCTTTGGGACGGACAAGCCCACCGGCCTCAATCCGGCTCCCGCGGGACCCTGCTGCCTCTGCTGGCTGGAGTCGGGACTGCGGGTGCCGCAGCGGGGAGATGCCACGAGCCCGGGGCAGCCCGTTGGCAGGGCCCCATCGGCCTCCGGTGACATAGACTCACCTTTGCGGAGCAAGAGACCCCTCCTGGGTTTTCCTGCTGCCTGTGGGCGAGGGTGGCAGGGCATAGGGTACACCCCGCCGGCCAGGGAGAGATGCTGGCATCTCTGCAGAGAGGGGCAACGGCATTTCCCTTTGCACCCACTCCCTCCCCATCCCTCATACCACCCCATGGGAGCCCGGGACTCGCAGCCCACTCCGAGCTTGGCCGCCTACTCCCACTCCTCTCTGCGAAAGGGACCTTTGCCAGGAAGGGGCTGAAGCCTTGGAACGGCCTGGTCCTGAATCGGCTTTGCCCTTCCCTCGCGTACCTGTGATGCATGTCCCCGTGGGCACCCCACCCCCCTCTTGCACCTGCGTCTCCTACTCCTTTGTGTCCCTGGCCAGAAAGAAATTTCCCAGATCCTTTAGGCTGGTGCCCTGAGACTCGGTCTTCGAGGAAGTTGCCCGACACCTTTTTCGACCTTGTGATTCTGCGGCTTTGGGAGCTGGCCCCAGCACCTGCTGAGCTGTGCCAAGGGGCAGAGCAGATGCCAGGAGGAATGGGTTGGTGCTGCCCCTGGCCTTTCCCCCCACCCCCAAACGATGCTGCTGGCAACCGCCGGTGTGACCTGGTGCTATGTACAGGACCTTGTGATGCCTTTGTACCTGCGGGACCATGCAGCACCGTAGCCCCTGCCTGCTGGACTTGCTGCAGGGATCCCCACCCCAGGCAGTGCCCGGACAAGCTGCCTGCCAGGAGCTGGACCCCAAGCCGTGGGTCTGTCCTCCACCCCTGCATCTGGAGCATCTGCCACAGCGACTCCGGCTGGCAGAGGAACAACTCATTAGCTCCCCGGGTGGATGGAGGCCTGAACCAGGTCATCAGTCGCTTATTGTCGCACACGGGCACATCCCAGTTGCTGCCCCACAGCAGTCCTTGGGACTGATGGAAAGTGCCTACCTCCTACATCCCCTCTAGGACCCGGAGGTGTCCACTCCACACCCGGCTCTGGGTTATTGCCGATGCTAGACCTCAAGAAGTGCCTCGTTGTTCAGCCGTGTCCTCTGCTGAAATCAGGAGGGCATAAGGGAGCCCTACACCGACGACTTGCAGACACATCGCCACATCCATCCTCGCAGGTGTTGGGGGGCTGGTGGTGAAGGCCGGGCTCCAGCCCTGCAGGAAGTTCTCCCCAAGCCCAAACTTTTGGGAGGACCAAACCCAGCCAGGAGATCAGATCAGCGGTGCTCCCATAAGACCCGGGCAGCTGATGCACCCAACATCTGGCCCGTGACTGGGGCAGATGGCACCTGAGCCACACTCAGCTGGGAACGGGAACCGGATTGACGACAGCTGCAAATCTCAGTTCCCCCATGCCGCGGCCTGGGATTTTTTTCTAGGCTCGAGCATTTCAAAGCACAGGCAAGCCAAGCTCAGTGCTGCAAGCCTGCACAATGCACTGGCCCTGCCCGCTGCATGCCCACCAAACTGAAGGTCTCCTCGGCTAGGATCAGCATGCAGATCACCCCAGACCGCCTACCGTTCGGGGTGCCAGGGCACTGCCCTGCGCTATTTCTTCTAGACCTCCGTGCGGCACGGAGCAGGGCGTGATGTCTCGAGGGGCACCCTCACCAGACGTGCCCATCCAAGGACAGGCTGGGTGCGATGCAGCAGAAATACACGGGGACCGGAGGGAATGGGTGACCGGTGCGAGCCCCCGTGGCTTTAACCCGTGATATACTCTTTTCTTTGGTGGGTTTTTTTTTCCTCTTTCTTTTTTTAGGCAAGTCCCTTTCTTCTCATCTCTGGTCCCGGTGCACGGAGCGTCACTGTTTTTGCTTCCTGGGGGATCATCCTGTAGTTGGGCAGAAACCTGCCGCCTTTGCTGACATGGGTATAATGGTCACAAGTGCATTAAAAGAGACTTCTGTTGCGCTGTGTCTGTCGTCCAGCAAGTGCTGGGGGCCGGGAGGGTCACAGTGGTGGAGGGAGCTGGCGGGGGCTTACGAGTCTGCTTTGCAGAGAAGCAAAATGGGTGAGGTGGCATCGGAGGAGGGACTGGGCCGGATGCTCTGCAGAGGCTGCCCATGTGTGCAGCCAGCTGCAGCCCTTGCAGTGACAGATGAGGCCCTGAGCCACCATGGATCTGGGACCCCTGGGGGTTTAGCCCCCAGGAAACACCCAGGGGAGTGCAGCCAGGCTGGAAAGGAGCTGCTGGAGAGCGGTGCCGCTTTCCGGTGCCACCTGGGGGGCTGCCGACAGGCCTGTGGGGTGAGTAAGGAGCTTGTGATGCCTGCTCGAGGAAAGTCCCGGCCAAGCGGCACTGAGTCATTGCCGCAACCTCCCTGCATCCACTGCGTCTCCTGTTAGCATCCAAGCCTAGAGCCGCGGGGCTGGAAGGAAGCTCCAGAGCTCACATCTAGTCCAACCCCCGGCTGGAGACAGGATCAGCCCTGTCCAAACCCTCCCAGACAAATCCATCATCGAAACTCTTGGTAAAACTACCTGATACAACACCCGACGTCACGCCTGAACCTGCTGCAGGGAAAGCAGGGGCATTGCAGCGGCCAACGTCCTGCTTGTGTAAAAGATTAATATAGATAGGGGACAGTGGTGTCAGGGCTGTGGTGCTTTGTGGGTTGGGGAAAAGGTTAATTAATCTTCATGGTCCAGATCCTGTTTGCATTTACTGCTCGGTTCCCTAAGGATCCCTACCCAAAATTGCAGCCACCTCTGGGGTGCGGCACAGCCCTGACCACACCATGCAGCAGCGGCAGGGGTTCGGGTCCTGACCGAGCTCCAAGATGCCAGGATCCTGCCTGGTTCAGTGGGCTCCCCAGGGCCCAGGCTGGGCTACGACCACCGGAGACAGTTGGGAAAGCCCCACTCCGGCTTGCTCAGGGGGTTGGGAAGGGGCTGGGGAGGCCAGGCCCCTGGGTCTAATACGGGCTGGAGCAAGGCATGTCCAGCAGATGCTCCCACCGCAGCCCAGCCCCTTCCCAGGCTCCGGCTGGACACGGGAGCCAGCTGTGGCTCTGAAGGGCTCAGGAAGGCCGAGGCCCTCCAGCTGCTGACTGGGAACAGGAGGGGCTGCAGCCATCAGGCATGTCCATAGCTAGGACACAACAGGTCATGTCGGAGGTACCAGAAAGACACGGACCCCCAGGAGAAGCTCTTGCCAGGGGGAATAGCAGAGGCTCCTCCCAGAGACCGTGCCATGCCTGATGCCCTGAAAGTGGGCGTGCATACACCTGGATGTGCAGCCCACATAGGTGCATGGCTCACATGTGCACTCCCATACCTACTCCTTCCAGTGCAATGCCCGTGGCTTTTGCTAGCCCGGTCAGCTCTTCCCCAGCCAACAGGGCACTGGACTGAGAAGGCCCAGTGGGGCTTCCCTCTGCCCATGGGTCAGCTCTGGCATGGGCTGTTTTTTGCTGTTCCTGTCTCAGAGCATGTCCATGCATCAGTGCCATCCCTGCTGCCGTGCCCTGGGGCACGAGGGGCCCATGGCGCTGCATCTCTCCCTCACTTGCCTGCAACACCAGGGATCCACCACCCCTTTGCTGCTGGGCATTGGCCTGGGCATAACACCCACGCTGCATGGATGGATGGCTGCTCTCTACAGGCATGGCCCAGTCCCACGCTGTGTTGCTCAGCCCTGGGCTCGTGATATGCGTGTACCCTGAACCCCGAGGCATGCAGAGGTGTGGGCTTCAGCTGTCATGGTTTCTCCCTCTGCTGCTGCCCATCAGGGACCCTGTACTGTGCCCTCCGAGGGGAGGGATGGGGCAGTTGGGCCATGGACTCAGCTTGCCGCAGCTTTGGGATTTTGCCCACATCCCAGCCGGAGCGTATCCATCCAGCCCAAGCTGGGTGAAACAAATTCAGGGAAGGGCCCTAAGTGCTTTGCATGCGTTGGCTCTTGCAGGAGGTTGTGAGGGCAGCAGTCACGGCCATGGCTTTCTGAGTACAAGGGCATTTCTGCTCCTCCACAGGGACCGCAGCCCCGGGGCTCTCCCTAGCCTTGGCCTCCTACAGGAGGTGCTGACGGCCCAGCTCCATCATCTGTTGAGCAGATCAATGCCCGGCTCTGCAGCTGTCCTTAGCAAGCATGGTATTAGTCGGGGACTGGCAGCCAGTAGTCAGACACTATCAATAGTAAGAGACATGTCTACACTTCTCCTTCACTGCAATCCACTTACCCGCCTCGCGGTGCTGAGCTGGCCGTGCGGGGTGGAAACATCTTTGAGCGACTTGGCTGTGTTTTCCAGCAAGGCTGGCATCTGACCTCTCCTTTCTGCCAGCATCCGGAGGTGAAGCACGGGGCCAACCTTTTCCTCCTGTTCCAGCGTGTTTCGGTGCTGCGGGGGTTTTCCCCGCTCTCTTCATCCATGCTGGATACCCCCGAGTTCATTTGACCTCTCGGAACAGCTGTGCTCAAAGCCAAGGGGGGGTGATGGAGAGCAGCTTCCTGCAGCCTGACATGCAATCGTAGAGAAGCAGGACCCTCAAGAGCATCAGCACAGCCCTATCCACATCCCCAGCCTGGGCTGCAGCCAGCACCCAACACCTCTGGGAGAGGCAGAAAGCCCACCCTCCACATGCACATAGGAGAGGAAAACTATTTCTTCCCATTCCCGTGGGACACCCCCATAGCAAAGCGCAGTCACAGCTAGACCTCGAGCATCCCTGACGATGCACAGGCTCGTGCGCTTCTCTATCCAGCGCA